TGAAGAATGCAAGTCACACGCCATTTTCTGAACGATTTCACTGCTCAAAAATTTATTTGTTTATTTTTTTAAAGATTGTGAATGAAACATCAAGTTTTTAGTAATTAAACATTAATTTTACATTGGTAATTACTGATCTTGGACAAATAAGGTATGTGTGTTTACAGCTCTTTTGTATGGGCAATTTTTCGCGAAGCGCGAAAGAAAAACTCACAGGGTTTTCAATGTTCTGTCTATTTGTGTAACAAAATTTACGGTAGGATTAACATTGTATGAGATACATTATGGTATAAAATTGTGAAAGGTGAAACCTGAAAAATGAATTATCTCGAATAAAATTAAGAATCAGACTTTAAACAATAGGGACTTTTAGTCAAATTTGATATTTACGGGTTTACAGATCACCCAATGTCGAAAGCTTGGCGGATGCTTTAAAATTGTACAAACTATGACTCTTATTGAACCCTCTTCCTACAAACATACATCTTTTAAAATAAGATGTAACCTATCCTGATTGATTGTTAGAAATCGATCATTTAATTATTCAATATTGATTATTTTGACGTTGCTGACTGTTTCTAAGAATTTTTTATTTTTGCAGTGTGAACGTTAGTAAATGCAGATGTATTTCTTTATTCTTTATTTATTTATCTAAATTTATCTTCTTTGAAGAAAGCAGTCTATGTTACAAATCACACATATTATCAATAGTTTAGTGATCAAGGCTGCTCACCTATCAAAACAACTTCTTTTCATCCTAATCGATCATCGTCATTATAAAACATTGTATTTTATTCTATGATAATCCTCCACTCTGGTCCAATTTGTTCCCATTATAACCAAACTTTTGATTTAAAAATGTTAAAATCTTCCCTGAATGCTTGATAATTAAACCATTTACTGCAGTACCTTTAACATATATATCTGTCAATATAATAACCATTTAAGTGACACATTGCTTAAACGGTTATTATATTGACAGATGTAAATGTTAAAGATACTACAGTAAATGGTTTAATTACCAAACATTCAGGGAAGATTTAAATATTTTTAAATCAAAAATTTGGTTATAATGGGAACAATTGTGGATTAGAGGGATGATATGATTCTTATTTCAGGGGGATAGTATGCTCAGGGACGTAGGATATTTTATGATTTTCTTCTACAAACATAGAATAATGTTTACAAGCGTACATACTCTGGTTTGGAATTATTGGGGGTTTATGGTCATTGGGTCAGCACAAGCTGCCAAGCGTTTGTCTATACATTTGACTTTCTTAAGAGCACAGATTCTAATCCTATGTCCAGTGCTGACCCAGCAATTTACTGTGTTATTCTGCCTTCGACCAATTTCGGTTATACTATGGTCAGGGATTATTGTGGTCCATCAATTGATCCAAAACTGTATTATACTATATTTTGGATTATTGACTCGAGAAAAACCAACGAAATAAACGTACACTTTTACAACGCTTTATGACGTAAAGACTAGGATAAAGATAACTTAAATGCAAACAACTCGGCAGTATAATTACTTGAGAAAGGAAGGAAAAAAGGTAAGTTTGTTTTTCAAAATGACGCCAGCTCCAACCCTACCCAGGCTTCTGTTAACATTCGTGTTGTTTGTTAACAGCTTTGTTATGTTTGTCTAAAGAAAGAAAGAATGGAGGCTGTGGAAAGAACCTTGGAAGATTTGCGTCGGCCTAATCACCGCGTAAGAACAATGAGAACAAACATGTTCAAACTGCCTTCCTTGCATAAAGATGTAAAGATTTGCTCTTTTTAACCACTCTTCACCGGTGCTCAGAGCGATAGAGTCAGGGCAGATGGATCCTCTACCGCAGTTCTTCAGCTGATATTGCTGGGTTATGATTGGCATAGACTCTGTTTTTTTAAATGGCCCCAAAATATTCAAGCGGATCTGATGACAAGAGTACAAAATTTTCGGATTTTCCTCTGCCCATGTTCGAAAATTCCAACGATTTATGCCATTAGAGGTGAACTTGGATTCATCAGTCTATAGGAAGTATGGAAGAACGATTTCTTCAGCCGACCGAATCGACATTTGTGCAAGGAACGTTATAGACGCCTGTCATAACCAGAGTCCCGAAGTCCCTGGACAAGATGAGAGCGATACGGCTTAAAATTGAAGTCCGGAAATATTAAACACGTATTTTTTTCAAGCGTATTGGTTAATCAGAAATTCAACCAGGCCCCTACAAAGCACATCCTGTAGATAGGAGAACCCCACTGCCCAGTGGTTATCCTGTTTAGGATGTTGTCAAATTGTTTTACTTTAACTTCATGCTTCTTGTCTTTAACCTTTGCAATAAATTATTATTTTTTCAAACGTGAATATAATCTGCCTACATTTTATCACCTATCTATGAACAACCGTGCACTGTTACTTTGGAGAGATCTTACGGAGACATTAGCCCTTAAAAGGACATGAGCATCTTTAACGACCGCACCTAGCCCTATGGCCTTATCGGACGTTTTGATTTTCAAGATGAAAGATGACGCACCTCCGCTCGCGACAGGGTGTGTGTTACAGCCGCAAGTTTTAGTGAAGAAGACGTCCCGGTCCCGAGGGACCAAGACGAACCTCACTCTCCTCTTGTTCATTACGAGTGGATGAACCTTCATTAAGCACTTCCGTGTGCCGCCCGGAAAGGGATACCATAGTAGGTTGAAATGCATCAACCGGTCTCCCGCCGCGCTCACTAGATAAGGCAACTCCATCTCCCAGAGTGTTGGGGCTTTAGCGTCAGAACTACCGGATCCGCTTCAGCTGCAGTTTTGTTGGAAGGAAACCGTTAACGGTACTTCCGAACAACAGGCCCAGACCAAGTTCTCGCCAGGAGCATCACCACTAAGCCACTACGTCCCATGTAGCTGGATTGGACTTGGAACATTTTAATACCCCGTAGTTCAGATGGCTATAAAGATGTAAAGATTAGCTCAGATATGGCACGTCTATACAGACACGATCTGGTAACCTAACCTCTGTGAGCCTCTGATCCAGCACCCGCCGTCCGCGGCCGGCTTGAAAGCCAACAGATCCACGTATGCATTTAAGGGACTCGGTAGGCGTAGTCTTAGCATCCTCGCATCCTTCGTCCCAAAATTCCTTATGCCCGCGAGGTGCTTCGGAGGTCATGCGTACACGGAAACACGAATACAGCTTCTGCTTTAGAGAGGTTGCCAAGCCCTCAAGGCTAGAGCATTATTTCGCGCCTGGATATCTCCTTTGCATCCAAGGGTTGGGAGACGTCACACAAGGACATATGCCGTAGGACCTGGAATGAGAAAGGCAAGTGCCTGAGAACGCGAGGCTCACCTTTTCAGTTACACCCCATTCCCCGGCCACGCTGTATCACCCATTGTCACCGAGATCCCACATCTGATGGGGTATCTTAAGGAGACAGCTGGCTGAGTGGAGATTTTCTTTTGGATATTTGCCAAGATAGAAGAATGACAGTCAAAGGCATCGTTTCGTCCCTGGACTATCGCCAGTCGATTTTCGCGTCCGTAGTGTTGGGGGGGGGACGGTCATCAATTCCGTATCTTTCTGCTCGACATTACGGTCGCCGCGATCCAAATCTTTAAATCAGTTTTGACGATTGACGCAAACCGCTTCTACGAATGGTTATATTTAGCGGAACAAGGAATACGTTTGCGCCGCCGGTGGGAAAACTTGTGCCGTGAAAGGAAAATGCAGATTGTAAGCGTAAACTTAATTCCATATTGGCCCTATCCTCCTATTGTATGCTTATTACAAAATTGAGCATAATATATCCTACCTTCTTGGACAAAATCGTGCCTTGCATATAATGTTATTTACTCAAAATTTTAACAGGGTGAGAAACATAAAGATACATCTGACCTTAAAAAAAAAGTCAATTGATCCAAAGATTACAAAGATGATTGATGATGTTATAGAAGAGAACGCAAGGACGATGCCATCGGACATAATTGTGACAACAGTTAAAACAGATTGCATTATTTTTCCTTTTAACAGGAACGTTTTTGAAAAGATTACTATGACACGATTCAACGGTCAATCGATTTAAGAAATCTTGAATATCTGAGTGGAAAAGTAAGAGAGAAGAGAAAAGTGGACCATTTAAAAGAAACATTATTTCATTTTACGCTTCCCCGATATTTTGGATTGTTCTTGATTGTAAGTTAATTTCAACAGTCAGCGAATGAAAGTTGTTAGTTTTATTCGCGTTTTATTCCTTAACCGCTTGGACTTAAACTTAGTACAGTCAATACAGTTCAGGTGGTAACTAAGTAAAATCATTATTATAAATCCATTGGGTTATATCTAAGTTTAAAACTACAGGAAATTCGATTATGTGCGACTCTTTACACAAATTATTCAATAATAGCAAGATCGCTTTAATTAAGTCGTCGACTTATTAAAACTATACAATTTCGTTATTAGTTAGGGAAGGGTTGTGTATTTTCCTTTTGCTTTTTATCGATTGAGGAGAAAATCAAGGTCAATCAAGGTACTAAACAATAAGCACAGTTAAAAGGAAATCATGGATTTGGGGAAATGGCAATTAACATTTTTGGGGCGAAGGCGTAAGGAGGAAGGGATTAGGTCAACGATCCCGTTTGGGCTATCGCCATCACTGAGGACCGACTTGGAGGGATCAGTCATTGGTCGGGAATAGATCTTACTGACCCAGATTGAGCAACTCTGTAAATATTTACGTATCTCGGTATCTTAAATAAAACAAACAGCCAATTTGTACGAGAGCGAAAGGTGAGAAATGCCTGACGAACTGACAAAAACGTTCCAACATAGATGTCGACATAGCGATTGGAAAAACAGAAGAAACGTTTACCTTCAAAGTTAGAAAGATTCTATAAAAAAAGGACAATCCTGCTGTTGACTGAGAACTTATCATTAAGACCATAAAGATAAAGATTCAACCAAAGAACGTTACGTTCGTCAAAAAATTTTACACTAGTGGTTCAGGTCTCACCTGATAGTCACCGCGAGGAGGATGATGATGATGGCCACGAGGAACATGGCGATTAGCACGCCGCACAGCATATACATCCCCTCATTTGGAGCATCTGAAGCATAATAGAAAACAGTATGTTTATATAATTTTATATCAATCTTAAAAGTTAAATTGTACTGATGCGACAGCCGTCAGCAAAAAAAAGTTTTATGGTCACTGGATCAGGTTTTTTTACAAGGTGTTTTTAAATTGTTTATATGCGTAGTGTTAATTGTTAGTTTTAAACTTATTGATAAATGCTGTTTATCGTAATGACACCACCACCAGCCGGTTAGAAAATGGGTTAATATCTTAGCTATCGAGCGGGTAAGAAGCACACAGCATTTAAGAAGCTTATCAGACAGATACGAATTCAGCAAAATGAATCTTGTCGTCCTACATAAATATGCCATTTTGCTTAATTTATCGAGTTAGCATATTCGTTTCGTTGATTACTTCTCGTTAAATTCAACTGCAATGAAATCGGACTGAAATATTGTGTAAATACGATTTTATGACAAACGGAAGACGAAAGAAGTATCATATTGGTCGTTTAAAAAATTGCAGTGGAGCATTATACATCTATTTCGTAACAAGGCTTTGCATAGGATCTGTCACTTGAAAATATTTTATAAACGTAGATGCTTCCTACACAATCCTTATCTTGTCCTGAAATCTTATCATACTAGGATAGGAATGCTGCTTGCGGTAAGTTCTCGGAAATCAGACCGATAAAAGACGGCGTTCCACAAGGGAGCATTCTAGGTCCCATCCTTTTATCATCTATACTGCTGACCTACCTACATACCCATAACATCACCACCTACGATACCGCCATTTTATCCTATAACTCGAATCCTATTCAAGCTACCTTCAACACCTTGAATTTATCGTCGACTGATGCAAAAAGTGGAGGACAAGACTGAATGAAAAAAAGTGTTGTTCACTTTGCAAAAAAAAAAAAAATTAACACAAAGAGTCCTATTCCTATTTTACTATTCCTATAGTATAGATACCGACTTCCATTCAAGTCAAATACTTAGGACTATACCTAGATAGCAGACTGAAGTCAGTCGAATCCGCACACAAAACCTGGACAACTACGACGACTCCCAGGACCGAAATCTGTCAAAATTTACTGCGATCACTTTGGCCGTACTGAGTGGAACTGAGGTGCTATCGAGCCATCCAACATCTAGCGCATTCAATCCTTCAAATAAAATCCTCAGATCAATCGTCGAAGTTTTACGAGAAAAAATGTCTCCTTGTCCCTTAAACTTTTACACTGAGTGCCAGCATTGGCTGCGTCTTCATGACATGTGTCCTCCGGGTGCAGCATTGACCTTAGAGTTAGTAATGTCACCGAGTGAAAAAACATATTATGATCATGCAAACTGACATAAAACGTACATTTCGTTAGTAAAGCTATATTTTTGTTTTGTCTAACTCATATTGGTCTTTATTTTGAAGGATCGATGTCTGTTTCTTTTTTTATTACTACCTTGTTATATTTTTGCATTATTGTATGAAAAAATAATCTTTCAAGCAATAAGTAAACAGTTTTGTTTATGCATTACTAGCAGGTGAAAACATCAGTTGTAATGTGCATTTATGAAATTACATAGGCAAAATGTCATTTCTCGATGATGTCACAGAGATATAGATATGTTCTATAAAAAGCTGTTGTGTTATGTGAAAGTTTTTTTTTAGAAAACGATCTGAGGCAAATCATTGGAAATTTCCAAGCGGGAAGTCTTGTTAAATCTGCTGTTGATAAATTATGAAAGTTTAGAATAATCGATGATCATCGATAATATGATAAAAATAAGAATTAAAAGGTCAAAACATTTGTTAAAAATGCTGCTTATTTATAAACTAGCAGTCATTCTTTCCTGAATCAGACGGCTAATTACATATCGTGCACGATATGACCATAGGATAGGACGTCATACTTTTTCTCCATGTCGGAGCATAATAGTTTTCCTTGCCCCCATTTTTTAGAACAAAAAGGAGCTTTACATCCCACATGCCTCACATTTTGTGTTCAAATTTTTCTAGGATGAATGTCAATGTTATTACAGACAGAATAGTATTCGAGTGAAAGGTAGGCACATTGAAACGGATTTATTTAAGAATTTCCCAGAGAACGAACATTTCAGACATAACTGTATGCGTTAGGGGCTGGAATGACCTGGTTGTCGATAACTCCGGGGCCTAGGTTAGACCTAGGTCTAACCCACTGGGATTGCCGACAACACCGGACCGGGTTAGTTTTCACTGAAGTCTTTTCAGCAACTACATAGTGAACAATTTTATAATTTTTACATACATTCTTACTTCGATTGTGTGAGATTTAAATCTAGAGGTTTTCATGAATAAATAAACGTTTTTAGAGGGAAACGATCAGTGTTTCGTATATATACGAAAAGAAAGGATCGATTCGATTTCTTCGTGAAATGTGAAGGAGGCGATTATGAATAGCTCCTTGTTCCTTGCTCCAAGAGAAGGAACCTTGTGAAATAGACAGTTCAGAATTCCAACAGTAGAATATAACAATGGTACAATAAATAGAGTAAACAAATATCTTTCTGTGTTAAACCTATCGTTTTTACTGGATGGGTCCTTCTATTCTCGCTATGTCGGGTTTTTTTTTAGTATAGATATCAGGCTTGATGATCTGTGGTTTTTAATAACCAGAGGCCAGTTGTTAGTTATTTTAATGTACCATGGGGGTCATTCTGCTTTGTATGAATTCTTGGAAAGTTGACACTGAGCTCTCAGTGAGTAAAGACGTTTAATAACTGCTCTCTTAATAACAGTGATTTTAATTATTAAAAGAAAGCTGAATCAATTGACTCACTCAAAAACCAAAATCAATCGGACAGTGATTAATTAAGCGAAATACAAACGTGTTATTGCAGGAAAAAATATACCTGATGCAAAATTTATTTTGTGATGATTTCAACCAACGGGAAGATGATGATTGAAATGACAATTTAGGAAGTAGGGTTTTCATGTTACCCAAGAACTGCAGCATAATGGATTATTGTACTTTTCCTGGTTCCTTAGTTCAGTTCAATTGACTATCCTTCTGTTAAGATTATTAGGTCACAGGATCTCGTTTCTACAATTCTTTTCCCTGGGTTTTCTTTGTATCCCAGGTTACGTCTCCACTGAGCGGTTGTTACTGTTTTTCATTCCTTTCTCGAGTTTCATCCTTTCAATACAGTGATGGCGTTCTTTCTTCGCCTGTTTTTTTGTTGCTTAATTGCAGATTTGCGGCGAAATATAGACAATAACCAGCGAAAATAGGCGGACCCGTCTCTGTGATAATTGATGACCAGATGTGTTCTAATCAATCTATGTACTATTTTTCTTGTGCGAAGTAGAATATACCTACAGCTTAAAAATTATTGAAAAAGAGGAAGAAGCAACGAAGAAAATGTTAAATAAATAAAAAAAGATTTTTAAAGAAAAATTTATATTATATATGTATTCTAAGATTTAATGTTTTATCTATGCAATAATAATTAAGAGTTTTTTGAAATTGGTTTTGTTTTGTACATATGTATGTACTTTTTAAAAATTTTCTATAATCCGAATTTTCCGGAAATCCGATCACTCCCTTGCAGCAATTAGTTGTAATATTTTTCTCAGAGTAAAGCAGCCGGTTGTTTGAAAGTGACAACGGGCTTTCACAGTGAATCATTGTTTTCATAAAACTGGGAGCCAGGTTTCTTCAGGCCGATGTTGATAAAACACCACGGGCGTGTTTTTTTAAAATTTTATTTGTACAAGATCAGCCTTAGCTTATTTTACGATTACTCTCTCATTACGAAAGGCATCGATTTTTCAACAATCGCAAAAAGAGAAATTGAAAACAAATCTGTGTCAATCACGGACGGCCGGCGAGCTCAATTGGACGGCGGGGACAATGAGGGTAATTGGAGAGGGTTGTAAGAATTGGTTAGATTGATTTATCATTGACTGGTGACGTAAATGCGGGGTGATCTATGCCCCGGCCCGACGGAGACTCCTCTGCCAACGGTATTTCGATTGAAACCCAGGTGGACGATTTGGCATTTATCCTTTCACAAGAGCAGCAGGCATGCAGGACAAAAGGTCACAGGAAGAAACTGGGAAAATCCAAACTAGTCGTCCAACGTTTCCGACTGTTTGACGGAGAAATAAAAAACCTAGCATCCTTTGCCAAATACAACTCGCAGAACATATAAACAAACGTTAAAGTTGAAATACTCCACACAAATTAAAATTGGTCTGCGGGTGGTTGAACACATGTTCAATTGATTGACACTGATTATTGCTGTTTCTTGTAGAATGAAAGGCAGCATCGATCGAAAAAAATGCAGTCTGAGGTCGCCGCTCACTCCAACGTGGGCAGGTATCTTTAAGTAAAACCAAGAGATTATCCACTTTTCATTTTGACGGGTTAATTCTGCTTGGAATTTTAGCAAAAGCGGAAAATTCAATAATAATGCCGGTTTGTTCTTTGTGACCGCAGTTGAAAGTCATCTGCAATTTCCTCTTGAGTTCTGTCGAAAATAATGACTAGGTGAAAGTGTCACTTGATTGAATAAGAAATCCAGGGTATCCCAATTGCGAAACAGCAACTGGTCCACACGGTCGTGCAAACTACGAATTATCACTGAATGAGACCGTCAGTTGTGAAAAAATTGATTTTAAACTTGAATCTATTTTATATTGGAAGCGCACGCAAGTACCATCCGGCGTTGTCGATTCATAAACGAAAACATATGTCAGAAAAACGGAAAAGTAACAATTGCTGACTCTTTTTACCACCTGTCACCCGAAACAGAAAGAATTTTTAATATAATTTCAACACGAATTAGATGGAAAAGCAGATGTATTCAGATCATGATGTTGAACAACTCAATTACTGTATAATTTAAACAATGTTTATAAAGCCAGGCCCTGAAGATGATCTCAATAAAGATCGAAACGTTGGCACGATAAAGAAATTTTTTTTAAACCTACGTCACACCAGACCGCATCTCGCCGTGAGATCAAAATTCATATTTGGTAAGAAATTTA